TCGCGAGGCGGACAATGGTGGACCTCAGGAGCGGACCTCAGGATCTCGGCGCTGGGCGTCGCGTAGCAGCCCATGGGCCGGACCGCGTCCTCGGCGCTCGCAGAGCACCAGAGCACCGAGCGGATCACCCGCTGGCCTGCGTATGGCGAGGGCCAGATGCGACCGAGTCTCTCGCGGCCCGGGGTCTGTGCGATTTCCGTAGGACTGTAAAGGAATGTAAGCTCCTTCACTGTAGACTAGGAAGGTAGATATTTACAAGTGCTGCCCGATATACTCCGGTGCAACACGAACAACAATTTTTCTGGCCCAGCCAAGCGCGGTCCGTCGGCCTTCATTCTGGCACTCTTGATTTAATTAAGTGAGCTCAGCCCCCCTTCGAGGGAGGAGTTGTAATAATGGTTGCGGAAATTGGACGCTGGTCTTTGCAAGTAGATCCTGTCACGAGGATGGCAACTCAGTACGAGTCGCACGGCTGCGGATTTGAGTTGGAACGCCCGTTTAGTTTTGCGTCCTCCGCTGCTTCTACTGCTCACTGTTCAAAGAATGTTGTTGTAAGATGCGCTATTTTTTTGGGGGGGTTCTTGGTGTGCTCGGTTTGGCGTCGCGACAGGTTGAGTTCGCTCACTTTGGGTGTGGAGCTGTTTTCTTGTTTTCTTTCGTGGTGCGGGGGTGGTAGTCGGTCGGGTGGGGCGGGGGGGGGTGGAGTTATCGGGTCAGTGTTCGTGGGGGGTGGGCATGTGGCAGTTGCGTGTGTGTCCGTCCGTCCCTCCGTGCGCCCCCTCCCCTCCCATTCTTCGAGTAGAATGTGGTTGGGAGGGGGCGCGTTAAATTTTTGGCTGCACACTTCAGTTCCCTCGGCGCGACGGCCATGACGGACCCGACCGTGGCCGGTGCTGCGCCAGCACCGGCGGGGACGCGGGCGCCTGGGAAAGCACGCAGCTCGTTCAAGCGCTACGAGCAATGGCCGGGCAACAATTTTTTTTTCTGCGGCGGCCGTCTCATGTTGGGCGTGGACTGCGACCGCCTTTTAGCGACGGCGCTACTTATCGCGACGACCTGGGCTGGCCACTTCTTCGTGACCTGGCCTAACCTCGACTTCGACGAGCGCTGCGGCGCAGGCGGCATTGCGGTCCTATGCTTCGTGTGCCTCGCAGCGGCGGCCACGCGCGACCCGGGCATTGTACCGAGGCTGCCGCGCAGCGACCGTTTGAGTGGCCTACCGTGCGAGACCCAGTACCGCATGAACTGGTGCCAAACATGTCAGATCTTGCGCCCGCCTCGCGCCAAGCACTGCCGCTACTGCGACAACTGCGTTCGTGTCTTCGACCACCACTGCCCTTGGCTCGGAACTTGCGTCGGCGCACGCAACTACCGCGCATTTGTCCTGTTCCTGGTCTGGACGCTGGCAGGGGCGCTTTACGTATGCTCGCGCGCCGCCCGCTACCTGGTGCGGTGCAGCACGGTGCATGCGTGCAGCGCGTACGTGGATTTTGGGCGCCCGATCGTCGCGGGCATCTCCGTGGCGTGGTCGGCAGTCGTCGCGCTCCCCGTGGCTACCCTCATCGCGTTCCACCTCTATCTCATGGGGCACGACCAAACGACGAACGAGTACCTGCGCGACGAGCGCCGTGGCCATCCTGCGTCCGCCGCACCACCCGAGTATGTACAGCCGGCCGGGGTTGAGGGCGCAGTGGCGCCGTCTACACTGCGCGCCATGTACCGGCGTGAGGCACCGGAGGATTCCGCGCGCGCGCTGCGCATGCAGATCAACTCGCTGCGTGCCTTTCTCTCGCACCCGGATCGCCCCCGACTCCGGGCTAGGGGCCGCCGAGAGTGCACGCCGAGAGGGAGCGGGGGAGCGTAGTTAGCTTACCTGCCTGCATAAGCAAAACTAACCCTTGACGGAATAAACTTCACAATCTATGATGAACTTTGGGACATTGGTGGCTCTGGGCGCACTGCTAATATTGAAGGAGATGCAGACCTTTAAACGAATGGCTCGCATCGTTTATGATATATACGTTGGGCAATTATAATCACTACGGCTCATTTCCTATATAGTCTTGGCACCAACAGGCGCAAACACGCCACGCTCGAGGGGGCCGACACGCCGGCGATCGTGAAGGTCGCTGTGTGGCATCTCCGAGGGGACGGGAATGATGAGCTACTCCAACAAACTACACAACAGCTCCTTCCAGTCCAACGGCGGCGTCAACGACGGCGGCAGTAGCGGAGACGACGGCGACGACGGTCTGGCGGGCGACGGCCAGTGGCCGGGGATGACGGCGAGAAGATGCGCTTTCTCGGTGACGTGGGTGGCGATGTGGCGTCGGCGACGGCCTCTTCGGAGGAGCTGCGCTGGGTCACATGTCCGCTGGCTTAGGTGTGGTATGGGGCACTGGGCCGATCCTCCCGATCGTGCCCTCGCTCCTCGCTCCACTACCCTAGCCCTTCCCTTTGATCCTCCCTCCCTTCGATTCCTCCCTGCGCCGCGGCTAACTGGCATCTCCGAGTCGCAGTGGCTCCGCCCGGTGGCTCTAGGTCACATCCCCACCCTGGCCTAGTCGCTGAAGTTGCAGCGCCTGGGGCGGGCCCGGTTGATCCCGGCGGCCTTCGCTGCGAAGATGGTCATACGCGAAGCCCTGGAGGGACTGGGTTTTGGACCTGGCTCATTCCCTTCAAATGGCCCAGGGCGGATTTAAACGCGGTTTAGCCGTGTGGTTATAGGCTAGTTGTCCGGGAGGGTTTCTCGATGCAGTCTTGAAGGCGCATAGAGCATGGCGTTCATCGAT